ATATTATACAAGATGCATATATACTTGTATGCAAAAAAACTATCAGATCCCATTATCTATTCATAGTATAATAAATCAAGTTATATAGTCTGAGTTAATTTTTAGCACTATAGAAAATATTTCAAAAAGATTATATTATTCAAAATATATGAATACACTAGTAAACCAGGAAAGATTATAATTGGTTCAAGATTATCAATAAATATGTAGAAAATTCACCTCTTTTTAAAAAACACTCTCTAGGAGAAATTGGAGACTTAAGTTATTAATATCAATAAAAAAAATAATTAGTATGGGCCAGAAAGTACCATGGGAAATTATATGATCATTAAATCAATAACTATAAGATAGAACAGTTTTTGTCAAAGCTAATAATTAGTGATAATATCACAATGAAAACTACAGGAGTTGTTGCATTTGGAAGAAGTCATAAGATCACATTTGATCAAGAAATATTCCTGAAAGATCATATTTGCAGAATGGTTAAGACCAATGCAATCAAAGACTATATATTGATTATAGAAATATACTATTGAATCACCAAAATATCAATATATACTATTGACCTTGTACAATCAGAAAATAACCAGTTTTCTTAGGACTAAACATAGTAAGATCTATCACAGTATCCATGATAATATAAATAAAAACACTATTTAAACACATACTATAAAGTTCTTTATTTAATTTCAAAAAGTCTCCTAGTGACTTCTCAGAATATTAAATGCTTGAACAGAGCAAGGTAACAGACAAAATAGTATCAAATATAGTAAAATTGGTTGGAACAAAATATAGAATAGATTGGTATAGTAAAATATATTAAGTAAATAGCTCATATGATCAAAAAACCTACTACTACTCAATAAAAACCTATATTCATCAGTTAAAATAAAAAAAAAAATTTTTCTTGAAATATAACTTTAAGTTGATTTAAATAATATTATAACTTTATTAATGAAAAAATAAAAATTTTCTTATAAATATCTTTTTTATATATAAATAAAGGATCAATAAAAAAGTTTTTTTTTTTTATATTTATATTTAATTTAATTTAATTTTTTTTTTTTTTAAATGCTAGCTTATTCTTGTATCAGATTGATTCCTTTATTAATTATTAAGATACTTTCTAGGGACAACCGGGATTATTAGTTACCCATACTGTCTAAGGATTTATAGATCAACGAATAGTACAAAGGGCATCTATTTATATCTCACTCAACCAAAATAGGAAAACTATATTAATGTCTAGTGTAGAATTACTCTTAACCCTTAACAAAGTTGAAAGAATGTAAATGTATGCTACCAAACTAATGGGTCACAAATTGTATTCCCTCATCGTAAACTGACACTTCCTAGGGGATTCTATGGGATGGCTTATTACTACCCTTTTGGGAGGAAACTAATATGCCAAGAACTTGCCTAAGATGCCCAGTACCACCGGTGTTGGAGATTTCTTATGCAAGATCCAAAGACTTTGTTAGCACTAAAAAAGAAAAAAAAAAAGTATGGATCTATCCTGTATTTTGTCTGGTGTATAGTCTTGTATCACAGAACTCCTGTCACCCATCTATTAAAAAACTGTTTTGTATAACTCTTATGTTTTTGTGGGTGATCAGGTCTATTTTAGTATGTAGTCCATGGAGCGAACAGTCCATCAGCTTGTTTACTCTTGATAGTCAATGATTTAGGAGATTGCAGTGTCCTGTATCCACCCACACCAAACCATATGACTTATGGTGGATCCCAAGTTCTTATGGGACTAAAGAAATGCATTTAGACACGTGAGGTAACCAATAAGAGCTAGTTTATCAATCTTGTCCAACACGTGTCGACCAATCAGAATCAGTAAAATTTATGCTACTTGAAATTTCAGGATCAAGCTGGAATAGGCAAAATTTACCAAAAAGTCGTGAAAAGTGGTAGCTCTAAGAAGACACACAACCATTCAAAGGGTTGAAAATGAGTCCTTTGAATGGGAGAAAACCTCTCTTATTTATATTTAATTATAATCAATAATAGATTCCTAAAATATTTAGTATATATAATTTTGTAGATTACTTATATAAAAAAAAAAACTCAATTTGTTGATTTTTTAATTATATACAAAAAAGATATTCACAAGAAGTTTTTTTATTTCTTTACTAATAAAGTTTTTATATCTTTCTTAAAACAACTTGAAATTTGACTTCAAAAATAATTTTTACCCTTTTCTTATTATTAACTAACTTTTTTATCCAAAAACTTGATTTCTAATAATTAAGAAAAGTCAAGTAATATCTTTAATATTAATAGTAAGAAAGTTTTTAAAAAAAGAATAATAAACTGTAAAATATTTAAAGACTTTTCTAATCTTTTAAATAAGAGGTTTGTAAAGATTTTTTGTAATAAAAAAATTTACTTTTTTTTTTTTTTATTGTTTTAATCCTCTTAAAATTCTTACTTTTATATAAATTTCGTTTACTTTAATTTGACTCTAAATTTTGAATAATATAAATTCTTTTTTTTTTTTTTTTTAATCTGCAATTATGCTACAATGATATGTCTTTATTGAGATATTGAAAGATACTGCAATATTTACAGACTTTCATAAAACAACTAACTTATTATTATACATTATTAGTTAAAGGACTATACTACTTAAAAAATATGAAAAGCCCACTAAACTAGTTTGGACTAAACAAAACTAAGTCTAAACTAGATACTCTAAGTCAGATTTTGGAGACAATATTATACTCTCTTAATAACTTAACATTAGCTTCTAAGTCAACCAGAATTATTGTCAATAGTTTGACACTGTTAATTATTCCAAAAAACTATGAATTGCTAAAGTTGGTACTGGAAAAAAAAAGAAAAAAGAAAATATAATTCAAAGCTCTTCAAAAGGTTCTTGCTTTATTTCACAGTTTCCTCTTAAAAGAAATTTGCTGAATTAGGATATTCTCTAAGTTTCATGACATTTGAGAAACTTAACTATTCCTAAAAGTGATTTTAAGAAGAATATTTGAAGAACTTATTCTTTTGCTGATATATAGATTCACTTATTACTACTGGAGCCAGTACCATATTACAGAAGAGTTTGCCTAACCAGGATAAAGAAATCTTTTTAAGAACGTTGTCTAATCGGAATAGAAGTTTGGAGACCTTAGCTTTTATCTAAGCAAGCCTTTTCATCACTTGAGAAACTTAATGAAAAATGAAAGTTGAATCTTCTTTTTCTACCTGTTGCTTACCTTTTAATATTATAATTGTTTCCTGGAGATTGAACATACACAATTGAAGAGGACACTTTTTCTAGAATTTTCCTTTCTATATTACCAATGATATATCAAGACACATGAGTATGACCAATAGGAGCTTGTTTATATTCCAAAAACTGATGTATTTCATATCAGTCAATCACTTTTGGTGAGGATTTGTGCTACTCAAAATTTAAGATTAAAATGAAGTAGGTAAAATTTCTCAGAAAACCATGAAAATAAAAGTTTTAAGAGAATCAAGACAGTCAAAAAGAGAGAAAATAAACCTTTTTACTGCAGAAAGCCTCTATAAGCTTTTCACTTCAAAGGTTAAAAAGACCTTCAGGTATTTCACAGTCAGTTCTTCTTCCTTTGAAAACTTTCTTGCTGTTGATATTAAAGATATTACTTGACTTTTTTTGATCACTAAGAGTCAAGTTTTTGAATGAAAAGGTTTGTAAACAATAGGGAAAGGGTAGAAGTGACTTTTAAAGTCATACTTCAAGTTGTTTTAAGGAAAGTATTAAGACTTTATTAGCAAGGAAGTGTAAAAACTTCCTGTGAATATCTTTTTTGTGTGTGGTTAAAGGATTAGTGGAAAGAGAATAGTATAAATTCTTATTAAAGATAATTGACTAATATAAAATATATTGATTTTTAAAATATAAATAAATTTCTATTGATTACACTCATATATTTTAATGATATTATTAGTAATTGAAGATAATGTTTTAAAAATATTTGTAAATCAAAAGTTCAAGTTCCTTAAGAAAGATATTTATAATATTAAAAGATTAAGAAATAAATAATATAAATTATAGATTTTTGTCTTTTTCTTAAGTTTTTTCAATAGTCACAAAATTTTATAAATAAAAGATGAAATCTAAATGCCTTCCTTGAGATATTTCAATTTGATTGACTTATCTAATATTATAGGTAATAACAAAAAATTTTCTTTTAAAGTTCAAATAAAGTAAGAAGAATATCTCAATCAGATAGCTCTTTTGAAAGAAGAATAACTTTGTTTTTTATTTTTTTTTATAAGGTCTTGAATTTGTTCCTTTTCCTAATCATTAATCCTCTTTTCTTTTAACTTAGCAATTCATAATTATTAAACAATTTACAGTAACAAACTGTTGATAATGAACATAGAAAATAGAGACATATACCAATCCTCTAGGGAAGTGAAATATTCTCTTCTAGACTTGACTTAGAGTACTTTGGTGCAACAATGAGTTGGTCATTATGTGAAAAATCTATAATATTGTAGATAGTTATAAACTTCTCAATAAAGATTAAGTCATAACAAAACCTAAAAGTGAAACCGATCACTTCAAGATTAAGAATCACATGATAATATCCATCGCATTTATAAAAAATTTAAAAAACTGATTTACAATACTTTTTCCTTAGGTTTAGAAATGGGAAAAAAAGACAAAAAAACTGCAAAAGGTCTGGAAAAATTAAAATTAAAATGAAATAAATCGCGAAATCAAGTTCTTTAGCTTGCATAATCCTCTTTCAGGGCGTTTGGATAAATATTATCGTCTGGCCAAAGAACAAGGTTACCGTGCACGTTCTGCATTCAAGCTTATCCAATTGAATAAAAAATATAATTTTTTGGAAAGGTCTCGATGTTTGATAGATCTATGTGCAGCACCTGGCGGATGGTGAGTTTCTAACCTATCTCATTTCTTTGTCTTTTATTGATTGAAATTAACGAATAAAAATTATATTTCAAGGCTGCAAGTAGCAAGTAAATACATGCCACCATCGAGTTTAGTTATTGGTATGAAAGTTTAAAGTAAATTAAGACAGATTATGTTTTGAAATTCGATGGATATTGATTGTTCTAAAATTATTCGCTTCTATAAAAGGCGTTGATCTTGTCCCCATCAAACCGATCCCAAATGCCATAACATTTCAAGAAGATATTACAAGCGATAAATGTCGGGTCAAGCTTCGAAATGAATTGAAATCTTGGAAGGCTGACGTGTAGGAATTATATTCTTTTTATTGCGCACTTTTTTTTCATCTCCTTTTATTCTTATTTGTTATTTCTAAGAGTACTTCATGATGGCGCGCCCAATGTTGGTATTTCGTGGATACAAGATGCTTTTTCGCAATCTGAATTGACACTAAAAGCCCTAAAATTGGCAGTTGAATTTCTAAGCGAAGGAGGTATTACGTCTTGACTAATTCTTATGGTAGTCTTCAATGAAAAAATGTTTACAAGTTTTAAATTTTATTTGACAGGCACATTCATAACCAAGATTTTTCGGTCCAAGGATTATAATAATTTAATATGGGTGTTTAATCAACTTTTCAAAAATGTGGAAGCTACAAAACCAGCCTCTTCTAGGTACATTATTTTATTGGCCATATCATTCGTAAATTTCAATTTCCGGCTCTCAATCATCTATTATATTTGATGATTTAAGGAATGTTTCTGCAGAAATCTATGTAGTCTGCCGTGATTACCTGGCTCCTAAAAAAATTGATCCAAAATTTCTTGATTCCCGCGCCGTTTTTCAAGAAGTTGATATAGGACCTACAAACAAATCTGTCCTACAGCCTGGAAAAGAGAAAAGACACAGAGATGGATACGAAGAGGGAGATTATACTTTATACAAAGAATCCTCTGTTCTTGAATTTATTAAATCGGATGATCCGATTAAAATTCTTGGTTCTGTCAATAAATTAAAATTTGATACAGACGAGGCAACTAAGTCGGTTTCAATAATATTTTTAATTAACTTAATAATTTGGTGATACTTACATACTTATTGTGTAATTTATTATAGATTATTAAAACATGAGTCAACGACAGAAGAAGTCAAAGCATGCTGTGAGGATTTGAAGGTATTAGGCAAGAAAGAATTCAAAAGTCTCTTAAAATGGAGAAATATTATCCTAGAATCGGTATGTGAAATTTTGAGTGCCTGATTAAAATAAAAACGACAACGACTATAATATTTTAATTTATATCTCTAAGATGCAAGAGCCGGCTGAGGACAAGGTTAAAGTAACTACTGAAGAAGAGGGAGAAATTGATGAGGACGAGGCTATTCAAGAAGAGGTACAAACTATTATCGTTAAAATATATTGTGCTCAAATTTCGGAAGTTGAAATATATTGATTATCGAATTTAAATTAGCTGGATAGACTCACTAAAGAAGAGCGAACTCGTATTAAACAGCTTCGCAGAAAAGTTAATGAAAAACGGCAGAAAAACATTAGGCGAATGCAACTCAAAATGATATCACCAACTGATATTTCATTAGAGGATGATGATACATTGTTTAATTTGAAAAAGATAGATAAGAATGGAGTAACTATTCATAATACCTATTGCGTATGTATAACTGTTTCAATATAATCTCAATTTATAATTTCTTTTTTTTTATAGATACTGAATAAAATGCGTAAAGGGGACATGGATTTGATTCCCGATCAAGATGACGCGCAAGATGAAGATTTATTCATTGATCAACATGAAGATACAGAAAGCGCAAGCAAGAGCGATAATTATATAGATCATTTGGAAAAGGAATTAGATGAACTGTATGAATTTCTCTTTTATTAATTTAGGCAAAGGAGGTTTGTCAAGATCTGAACTAATTTGGCAATTGAATTTCCAGATATGATCAATATCAAGAGCACAAGGCGGAGCGCGATGCGAAATATAGAGTAAAGAAACTTAGAGCGCAGGAAAGCGATCAAAATGATATTCAAAATAACGACTTTGATGACACAGAGATATCTGTTACCTCCCAAGATGATTATTCTTCATCCAGTAGTAATAATGCTTCCAGTGAGGAAGGAAGTAAAAATAAAATAAAAACGAAAGAATTAACGAAGAAAAAGAAAAAAAAACTAGTAACAGATTTAGCCGAAAACAAAAAAGACACTGATAAAATAAATACGAATGGTATTCTGAGCAAGAAAGCAACCATATTTTTCGATCAGCCTTTATTTAAAGCACTTAATAATGATGAAGACCACAATATAAAAAACAAGTTGGAAACGGAAGAAGTAATCAGCGCAAAATCTCAAGAAATCCCTATTGAGGAAGAAAATGGTACATCCGAACCAAATGCTCGTCCACTAAAACGTAAAGCTGACCAGGTTAGTGCTAAATTCGGTCACTATATAATATTTGGTTTGATTCTTAATTTGATTCATTTATTTAAAGATTGATCAAGAAGATGACATAGAAATAGTTCCTATAGAAAAAAATGATGTGGATATGTGGGATGCAGATGAACTCGATGAGGACGAAAAAAAAATGACGAGAGCACAGAGTAGGGTTTATTTTGTTGGTTATCGTAGAAACAATTTATACGACATTTTAAATTTTCAGCTTTTGATTTATTTCAGAAAATGGATTAATCACTGCGGAAGCAATGACTCTTGCTCAACAGCTTATAAATCGGCGCAAAACCAAACAAGAGCTCATCGATGGCGGATTTCGACGATATACATTTAATGATAAAGAGGGATTACCTAATTGGTTTTTGGATGACGAAAAAAAACATAACAGACCTAATTTACCGATAACAAAGGAAGCGGTCGAAGCGATAAGAGAAAAAATGAAGGAGTTAAATGCTCGACCAATAAAAAAGATTGCTGAGGCTAAAGCTAGAAAAAAGATCCGAGTGTGTATTTCTTTCAAGTTCAAAACAATAAAGGATGTTCGCTAATATCTTCAATGATACATTTTTATAAGGCCCTTAGGAGACTATCCAAAATACAGAAGAAGACTGACGCCATCGCAGAGACATCTGAAATGACCGAGAGTGAGAAAGCTCAGACGATTTCAAAGTTGCTCAGTAAATCGCAAAGAAAAAAGAAAAACGAGGTGAAATTAGTTGTCTCTAAAGGTTCGCTAAAAGGTAAAAAGGGACGACCAAAAGGTGTTAAAGGACGATATAAGGTATTTATCATCTCATCTCCTTTTTTCTTCGATCCTTGTAACTGATCTATATTTTCGAATATAGATGGTTGATGCAAGGATGAAAAAGGAAGTTCGGGCGATAAAGAAAATTGATCAAAAGGGAAGGTCAAAAAAACGTCAAAAACGATGATATGCAAAAATAATGCAACGTTTTTTTTTTTAAAAGATAAAGTGTCATTATCAAGCAAAAAAGAACTTTTATCCTAAGTTGTATACTTAATTCTACAAATTAAATAAAATTATAATAAAAAATTATTATTCATTATATTACTTCAACAAGAAACAAAAAGGATTGGTTTTACTGTAAGACCTATTAGTGCTAAAAATAATAATCAAGTTTTTAAAGATTGTATATATTCAAATCTATTGTTTTTTTTTTTTAACTCTTTATCAGATTAGCCATATATGCTTTATTAATCAATTTGTAAACTGTACATATATTATAATATAGATCTCTAAAGTTAAAATCTAATAACTTATTTATTTTAGTTAATCTAACTTTAAGTATAAATTCAGGAGTAATTTATCACTCTACTAGCAGTTTAAATAAAAATCTTTTCAACTATTAACTTTATTGTCTGCAGGTAATGATTATAATAGATTGAATCAGATCAGATTTCAACTAGATTTTATGCAATCCAATTTTTATAAATATAAATTGAATATAAATCTAATTTCTTTTAAACTAATTTGATTCAATCTGAACTTTAATTCGATTTAATTTAAATCTGATTTGATTTATATCTAATTCAATTAGAATTAAATTTATTTCAAACTATATTCAATCATAATTGTTTTAATTTAACTAAGTTAAATTAAATATGTTTAAATTAATCTGACTTATTTTAATAAAAAATTTTAATTAATATATTTACTATCAAAAATATTTTTTGACTTTAAATTTATGTATATGTTTAAATTTTTTAAAGTATTTTTTAATTTTATATTTAAAAAATTTTGTTTATTAAATTTAAATAATATACTGTATTTATCTTATTTATTATTATTTGTTTACTTCTATATTGATATATTTTCTATTATAGTTAGTATCTTTTAATATAACTTAATATTCTGTATTATTTTTTTCTTTATTTTTTATTATCAATATTTCAAGAATTTGTAAAGTATATTGATCTATCAATAATTAATTATATTAATATTTCATATAATATTCTTTTTTATCTTTTTTTCATTATTTTTATAGCTAATACTATTTTTTAAATCAAGTTTTAGAACAATCCACAAGTTATATATTTTATCAGCAATACTATAGTATCATGCAATTTATTCTTTAGCTAGCAATAAAAAATATTTCCTAATAAAAAATTATGTCAATTTTAATTTAATAATAATTTAAATTTTTATTATCTTATAATATTTAAAAAATATTTAGTATTTCAATTTCAATTTTTCTTTTAGTTATATAAAAATTGTTTTTATTAAAATTTTTCTTACTATAGGCAAATTCTTTACTATTAATAGATTATATTTCTCTTAAACAAGCAGCTACAATTACATAATTCAAGAAATTGAAATTGATATAAGTAAATTTACTATATTTCTAGACTATATAGATAATTTTTTTTTTTTTTTTTTTAACCCGCAGTCAGGTCAGCATGGCGTGTCTTTATTGTATATATGCTAGGTATTTACA